TGATGTGTGATCTATTTGCATGTATACTATGATAAGAAGATTGCCCATACCTTTATACAGGTGGTGTGTATTTGCAAATCTTTCGGCGCAATACATCAAAATGTGCTGGTGAATACCCTCCATGCCAGCTGTGCTTCTGAAAATGAGTGAAAATAATGAAAATGATATTATCATCAAAGCTTTTTAGTAAGAAAAATCCTTTAAACATTAACATATACAATTAAATTATAAATGTAGGTCCATTTGTGTCTCCATATAAAGATGCTGTCAACATTTAACATTCTATAAGTAATAGACATTATGAACTTTGTATTAATCAGGACTTATCATAACTCCTTTTTATTTAGGAAAATAAATCCATATAAAAATTTCACATCAAACTGCAAGCATATCTTAACAAAGACAGGCATATCTCCCTTGCAGAATAAATGGCTCCAACTTTGGAGCCATTGGCTCCAACATTTTCTGATTGGCTAATCTGGTGGTGCAAACTAAAACTGATCCAGAGAGAACCCTATGGACAATATTAATTTATTTCATTATACCGGGTGAGAACATACCTCAAGTTGAGATAGTATATCATCTTATTCAGAAAACTTTTATACATCAAAACGCCAGCCAGATCTTTCAGGCCATGTGCATGTTGTTTCCTTGCAGCCATGGTTTGTTCTGATTTATAATGGACCATGATTGTACTAGGCATTGGTGTACTCCACAATCTGAAAACAGAATGTGACAGAATCCATTCATGCTAATTAACTATATGATTTAGACACTAAAAGATATTATATCCTGTAATAAAATATCAAGACAAATAAGCATGCATTAAACAACGACAACAAGTTTTATGAAACATTACTAGGCATTTCACAATTATTTTACAAATAAAATGCTTACCATAAACATATGAAGTATTCCACATTATGCAACAAAACATCTTGCATGCATTAATTTTCTTGCAACAAATGACTATATGTATTGCTATCTAGAATTTTATTTAAATATTTCTTGAGCAACAGAAAAATCATATAAAAATATCAAAAATTCAAACAAAATCAAATATAAAATAAATGTTTACTTACCATGAATTGTTTCTAGTTTGTGGCAGTTTTACAACTAAACCAGAAATGAATTTCTATGTCACAATTCCACTTCAAAAGGATTTAATGGGCTTTCTTTAGTGCTACCTGAAGATTAAACCATATCTTGCTTAAGAAAATAACAATCATGCAATTCCTTTTCATTTTAGCGAAAAATATTCTACTTAAGAATTGTATATATTCAGACTACACCAATATAAAAGAAAACGTTTTACTATGTATGACATAAATCAGTCCTTGTTATTTACAATAAGTAAAGTTAACACTAGTCTGTTAAAAAATCTTAGTTTACAATTTTTAATATAAAGTTATTCAGGATTAGTACAAGTGTTGAAATTTTTGACCATGTATGTTCAACCTTCAGAATTTCATTATCATAATTCCTTTAATTGTGCAAATTACTTGACCGCTTCACATGCAATATACATTTCTGTAATACAAACCAATGATATTTTCAAATATTTTTAAAACCAAATAATTCATAAAATTATAACCCCTACATATTTATAGTAATTTTGAAAGGTATTGGGTAAATTACAACCTGTCATCACTTAACTCCTTTTCAGACACCTTACTTTCCCCTGCAAATGCATTGAGGTCATCTTTAATGTCCTTGGTATTGTAACACGTGATGATGATGATGTAATTGATCTATTTCTGTAATTGAAAATATAGCATACTAGTACCAAGGCCTAAAATCTTTACTATTCAAAGCCATTCAAATAAGTGAATTGAAGCAATGCTTATTAGGAAGAAGGGTTGTCAAATGATTAAGTATCATTTAACGTTTTCAGGACAATCACTTATTTGATCTTGCTGTTATCTTCCATGATTACTGTTAAAAATGTTGAAATTTTACTGCGGAAATGACTCAAATAATACAAAACAGTTGACTTTTTAACTATTTTCCCATTGATTTTTTTTCTTTTTCTACTTTATGTTTTTGAATATTTGTCAACCCTGGATAGTAGTCCAATATATTCAACATTATGGGCTTGTTATAGATTATGTCGGTCAAGTTTGCTTTTGGCTCAAAAGCAAAGATATCTCAAAGTCAAAGTGATGTCACATTTATAGATCAACACTTGATAGTTGAACATGCTTCAAATGAAGAAATGCCTGTTCTGCTAGTCAATAGTTCTGCATGTAACCCTCTTTGAGTCATGTGTGGCTGGTCTATTACACAGAAGTGTAATTACCATGCCAGTTGTACAGTTTATCTTTCCATTTACACTTACAGTAAAAACAATAAATTAATATTTAAATGTGATGGGTAAATAAGTTTAATAACATTTTCTCAAAATGCAATTATTTTTGTTTCTTAAATAATTTTTAAAAGATAGTGTTTGGAGATATTAAACGATATAACAATGATAATAACATGCACAATAAATTCGGAATGGTTCAGGCTAGTAAGGGTACGAAAATTACAGTGAACGAAAACTTAACTCACAGACGTGGATCTGCAAGCTAAGTTTCTTTATCATATGTCAATACAATTCTAAAAAATTAAACACAATATCTATGTTTATATATTCATAGGTGAAATTATTCTTATAAGTTAGACCAAGAAAAAAATAAACGCAAACAAAAATGAAATCAGTATTCACCTGTCAATCAGAAAATGTTACAACTTCACGGTCGCTTTTGGCTTTAATTTCCCTTTTTAGAAATTTTCACCGCCTTGATTCACTACCGATGTATATCCTTCATTGAATGAAATCACGGTTTCTTTCCACTTTTCCTTTCCGAATCTGAAATCTTCTTCTCTTGTAAGCCTATACGTTTCACACCTTTCGTCTTGTCCGCCATTATTTTGGTTTGACATATATCAATCACGTGACTCCGATCCGAACATTTACGGAAATAATCGAAGGGCTTCCCGCCAAAATATAAATCTTATTTGACTAACCCAGTCAAATAAGAAATTGTAATTTTTAGAATGGCCAGAAATGTTACGGAGAGGGTTTCTAAGTTGGAAAACTTTGTCAATACTAGTTAAATTATGCATTTGATAACAATAAGGTGTTAATTTGACAATTTACTTTAATGGATTTGAACAGGAATATAACTTTAAAGCATTAAAATAGACAAAAACCCTCTTTATTAACTCTACTGGTTGTTGTATTCAAAGTACCCCAGATTGGGGGTTGCGTTCATTGAACGCCGCCTTTCCTTGTTGATCTTGTTTATCATATTTCACTAGCATAAAGTAGGTTTAACAGTATGGTCAAACAAATGCAATGTGGTATGAACATTAGTATTCAAATTACTGAAAGCTTTGCCTAATTTAAAATTTGCTTTTAATGCCCTTTTATACAAATCTTTTTTGCACTCAGTAAAACTACCCGAAGATGAAAATAGTATTCCAAGATATTTATATTTCGAAACATGATTAACCTCTACATTATTATATATATACTTAAAACTGGATAGCCTTCCACTTTTGCTAAATGTCAATATATTAGTCTTCTTTAGGTTTACAGACAATCCAACACCTTCACTGAATAAATATAGTTTATTAAGACAACTTTGTAGACCTTTCTCACTGCTAGACAAAAGAACTACATCATCTGCATATAGTAAGCAATTAAGGGGAATGGCACCAAGCATAACTGGATCATCTTCATTACCAAAGCAGGATGTTAAATCATTGATAACCAATTTAAACAGGTTTGGACTCAGGTTATCGCCTTGTCTCAAACCGATTTCTGGAGTAAAATGATGACTGAGTGAGTTTCCCAGACGAACATCAATTTTATTCTTATGATACATGCTCTTGATAATTGTATAAAATTGCCCCGAAATGCCACCCTCATTCAGTTTATAAAAAAGTACAGAATGCATCGCACTGTCAAAAGCTTTAGAATAATCAACAAAACATGCATGTATTTTCATACCATTGTTCAGATATTTCTCTACCAGTGTTTTTAACACAAACATGTGATCTGAAGTTCTGGCTTTTGGTTGAAAGCCAATTTGCTCCTGATTTATCACCTTATTATCATCAAAAATATTGTGTAGTCTATTATTTAGAATACTATTAAAAATCTTCGAGAGGCATGGCATAATGGAAATTCCTCTATAATTTGAGGGGTCATTTGGACTATCACTCTTGTGTAGAGGTTTTATATATCCTACTTTCCAGAGATTTGGGTATTTTCCTGATGACAAAATAGTATTAAACATTTTTTGTATACAGGGCATAAGAACCTGATAACCTGTTTTCATCATTTCATTTGCGATACAATCTAAACCCACAGCCTTTTTATTCTTAAGTTTACATATAGCCTCTTTAATTTCCTTCTGATCAATTCTGAAATCTAAGTTTGTAAAAGTTTTTAATTTTTCAGAATCCGTAAAACTGTCATTCATTTGTAATGAAAATGCCAATGTTTGTCATCATGAAAGCACTTGTGCCATAAATCGATCTATACATTGAGGTAATAAACATGAATAAAATGAGACTTGGGAAATATTATTTCTTGCAACTTTGTTAGTTGTTGAGATTTTACTAGAAATAATTCTATACCGTAGGTCTGAAAAATATTCAAATATTTTTTTTAATTTTATTAGTTCTTGACTTCATAGATAGACATATAGAATAACAAATATTCGAATCAGTTTTAAATCTAGACTGCTGTAAAAGGGTAAAACAACGTATCGGTTTAAAACATAATAGAACAGTAGCCAAGATATATCTCGAATTATTTTTCACGTTAAATATAATAAAGGAATACATGTAACGTTTAAAGAACGTTCAAGAAATTCTTAAATTCAATAAGTGACCTTTATTTAATTATTTTAAGTAAATAAGTATATAAATATTATCTAATGATGTGATTCTAACCATGTGTACATATATTATATAACATTTAAATGCCACCAAACCTTATCACATAAATGGCATAAAGTTATAAGTCAAACGGACACAGAAACATGTTCACTGATTTTTATCAAAAAATTCTAAATTTGCATTATTTTCAATATGTAAAATACTAAAATGTTAGCGTACTGTATTACGTCGAATAACATACGATATTTGCGAATTAAATTATTCTCAAATACTTGAGCACGAACATTTATAAGACAACTCTTAGTCATCCAGCTCGTTGTTATGTTAAAATATAAAGCATAAAACCGACAATATAAAAGCTATAACCCGTTGTGAAAGATGTTGTTTCTTTATATTAACAGTAAGTTTACAAATTAAGATCGTATATGAACTGACGAACTAGAATTAGTAAAGGTAAAATAACAACCCAGTAATTTTCCTACTTAATTGGAATTGAAGACTGCCTACTGTCAATATGAAATAAATTCTGAATAACATATTCCTTTCATAATTTAATCGAGACGACTTTTATTTGTTTAATTCTTTACTCCAGATTACATTGATAGCAACAATGAAACAAATCTCATTTGCATTCAATATTATCCTGCGAACTATAAGTAATTATTAATTCAGCTAACAAACTCATTTGATAGAGAGCTTTCGTAAGCAACATCATAATTAATCTTTGTTTTGACCTCCTAGATAGCTTTGGCGTTACCCAAACACAAACTAGGCTTGTTTCGTTAATTTGCCTTTAGTGTGTCAATTATTCGGTTTGAATAATGAATATATCATCATATAACACTGTAATTTATTACAATAAATATGCATACTAGACACTAGACAATGAACCTGTCATGATACACGTCACCTTTGTCTTTCGAATAGAATTAAGTTTTATTGTTTATACGCGTTATCTTTGCCTTTTAACTAGAACTACTGGTTCACCTAATATATCATATTGCGCTGTCCTAAAGTTTTACTGGCAACTTCATTTATTGACACATACCAAATTAAGTAGTTGGTTAGTTCTCTTACTTTAAATGGGGCATAGTAAACTCTTTTATTGCCACCTCAGTGTTATTTGTGCCGTGTGGAGAATATAAAAAGTCGCCCCGTACATATAATCAAAGATGTTATTTTTTCGATCCTTGAACATTGTTCGGCACAATATTATGTTTGTGGGTAAATATTTTTGGTGTTTTTAGTTTCTTCTATTTGACCTTTTGAACTTAGGTGGTTCCAATATTCCATGTTGAATACTGTATAATCACGCCTGCTTTTTAAATTTGTTTTAAATTTGCATTTTGACGTCTTATCGGTGATATGCAGGCTCCATAACCTTTGGTCCCCTTCAAAAAGACATTTTGTTTAGTTTTCTCGTTTAGGGCACACGCTTTATATTACTTAGGACCATGTGCCGCTTTTCACGGAACGACAATACTGTGTCACATTAAAGGTTCGATGATAACCGCCGTATGAACACATCTGCGGTTATTTCTAAATTCAAAATTTTCCATTTCATGTTTAAATGTTCAATTCTGCTTAAGCCGGTGCTAGGGCCGTAGGCGATAACTTGCACTTCTTAAGACTTTCCCTGAACAGGCTCAATGGACCTTTCCAGTGTTTACAGTTTTATGTAAATTGGCTAACTTGTTATCCAATCGCTACACGAAGATAATACATAGTCACTGGTTGACCTGGTTTGCACAAAAGAACACAAGGTTATGTTTGTGATACTGTTTGTGAGCAGTGGACCTAGCAATGAATGGAAAAGGTGTGGTTAAATGTTCCGCTACGAAAAACCGGAAAGGTCCGTCAAACCGAGCCTGCAACATTTTCAATTTTGACGTGTTGGATTCTGTTTTCTCTATTTCATAATAAATATTTTGTTTTGAAACATAAGCACTTACGCGTTTAATGTAATACTAACAGTGAATGGATTTACTCTAAATAGATAAATAGAAAGAAGAAAGATAAAATATCCAGGATTTTACGCCGCAATTATTATTCATATCCCAATACGATGTACACCGAAAAGCCAAAGCTGTAAGCTAAATGAAAGCCAGTTGTGTCAAGTGTCAATATGAATGAAGACATTCTAATATAATAATGCATTCCAGACACTCAGCGGCCCTATCAATTTCATGGCAATAGTTTTATTCATGCAGAAAATAATATCGCAATTCAATTCTTTTCTTTTCTGATCGGATATATGTTGCTGCAATAAGAATTACTTAATTGATTCATCGAAAACGACATAAGGTCAATAAACAAATCTGAGCAAGATTAATACCGGCAATAAGGATACTGCTGGTAATCAGCAGGTAGTGTTTAGCTCAAACATGTTTTTACTTTGTAATTTCGTTTGTTTTTGCTGTACTTCCCCAAAATTGATTTATAGGTCAGTCAAGTTATTGAAAGGGTTTATGCATTATAAAATTTATTACAAACTTACAGTGTCGTGTACTAATCATAATTGCACATCCAGTTGAAATCCATGCCCACATGCGATTGTTTCTTTTGATCGTAAATTATTCACAAACGTGAAAATGCTATATCACAAGGGGGCAGGCAGGTATCCATAGCACAGTAACAATTAAAACATTGAAAATCTTCATTAAAGATGTTTTTACACTTGTTTTTTTACGTACAATTCGTAAATTGTATAATTTGCTTAGATTAAGTTAACAATTAAATGTTTTAGACGTTTCAATTGCTGTTTTATACATTTTTCCTCTCCCTTTTTCCATTTGTCCCAAAACAAATCAGCAACATTATATTCTTCCCTTTTAATTTAATTGTGTCACTGTGATAACACTTAGCTTTCTTTGCTGTTGTAAAAGTGTATTTACTTAATATACGTACAAACTCCTTTGTAGTAATCCCACTTTCCAATTGTTTCGATCTTGATGATCTGTACGTTCATATTTATAACCTGACTTGCACCTGACAAAGATTACATTACTATGTAATTGATGATCCGTTATTTTATGGTTACCAGTCGTACAATTATACTGACCTAAAAGCTGAGAGCAAGTAAGGCACTCAAATATAACAATTATTTTGATATTTCTTGTTTGAGTTCAGTTTTTGTTCGTTTTCCCTTTGGTGATTGATATGACAGAATGAATGCACTTGCCTGAGATATGATATGTGGGTGAACATTTTAAAAGCAACATTATA